TTTCCAAAATGGCCGCCGTTTAAAGTTTAAAATGGCCGAAAATTGTCACCTCGGTTTTTTCCTGATGGATTTGTCTAAAACTTGGAATTTGAGAGTATTTTGGCATAAGATAAACAAATTTGAACTTAGAGTTCTAAAAAAATCAATTTTTGGTCATTTTGAACTTTAACCGGCGGCCGTTTTGGAAATTTTGGTTTTTTTTTTTAAATCTAACATCAAATTCGTTTTTCTCGTGTCAAAATACCCATTCATACCGATTTTCGCGCAAATCCATCGACAAATAACCGATGTGAATTTTCGGCCATTTTGAACTATAACCGGCCGCCATTTTGAAACGGTTTAAGATATTGACTTCGGGTTCGCGCGAAAAGTTTTCTTTTTTTATGTTCTTTCAAACGAGCTATCACAAAGGGGGTCTTCCCATTTGAAAATTAAAAGTTGGGGGCCGTTGCCCCCCAAGGGGGCCCCCCTGAAAATTTTAGGGGGGCCAAAAAGTAGCTCCCTTTGACCTAGGAATATCCCTTAAGTTTCAAATCTTTACCTCAATTAGGTAAAAAGTTAGAGGGGGTGGAAGGGACTTTTGGATCACCCTGTATTCTCCGCGCGCAGAAAAATCGATACATCGAAAAGTAGCGCGCGGAGTTATTTTCTGGTGCAGCGCCGGAAAAAACAGTTTCGACACGATCGGCGTGCAGGAATCGATATATCGAAAATTCTGCGCGCGGAACAGATTTGGAGCGCCGCGCCGGAAAAAATAGTTTTGACACAAACGGCGCAAATATATGGAAAACCGGCGCGGAATCCGGAAATTCAGAAATTTTCATCGAAAACGGGTTTTTTCTTTCCGCGCGCCGAAAAAAAATTCCGCGCGCCGGAAAAATATTCCGCGCGCCAGAAAAAATTCCGCGCGCGCAAGAAAAGGGTTTTGACACTAACGGCGTTCCATAGACCACCATTCTTTATTATCCGCCTTCCCTTCATGGAGCCACAAACGGGAATGAAGATTACACAAATTGAACGTTTTTTGTAATCTTTGATCAGCCCCTTCTCAAATTCCTTTTTCCGTTTCTTCTCTCATTCCGTTTGTTCCTTGCCGAACCCGTAATTCCCTGGTCCATTCCAGATTATAATCTTTGCAATCGGTGAAAATGTCATAATTATTCCCGTTTGTGACACTGTGAAGGCCTAAAATACGGGAACCAATTAGCAATGGATTCACATTGTCTTGACTCTCAGTATAAAGGGACTCTAACCCCGAACCCTGATGAGAGATAATATTGTATTTTTACTGTCGAATGTCAAGTATGTCGAGTGACGCAATCGTCTTAAGTTCCGGCTTATTTACGGGGAAAATAGTGTTGCCAATAAGGCCTACAAAATATAAGAGTGAATTCAGCTAATCGGAGAAAATGGTTCTGAAAAAAAGTTGAAAAGTGATTTGGCCATATCAAGCTATAGACTACTTTTCTGTTATTTCAAAGCTCCATACTATAGGATTTAATTAGGTGCATCGCAGTATCTCTGCGATTATTTTTCCCTACCAAGCCTAATATGTCAGTTTGGTTTGGACTTGTCAGGTTTGGTGACGTCACCAAACTCACATTTTGCTGCTATTAATTTTCCCTGCCTATTTAAAGTATCAAAATCAAACGAATCATTGAGGTTAGGTCGAGAGGCAACCTGTAGAAGTGTAGATGTAAGAAAAATTCGGGATGTTGGAAATTCGGACTGATGGTTGCGGGTCAGGATTTGGTGGCCCGCTAATTCCTGACGTTCACCAAGCAACAAACCCATCAAACTGACGCCAGACTTATGCTCAGGCTAATCTTGTATTCAGGCCTTTAAACCTTGGCATAGTTTGACAGGTGTTCCTGTTCCTAGACATGGTTAACGCTGGGTGGAGGGGCCCATCCATCATGATTCATGCCAGCTTTTCAAAACTAGAATAAATAACTTCTAAAAATATATTTGGAAGACTTGCAAAAAAAAGTTTAATGGGATTAAACATATTTTTTAAGAATAGTAATTTTCAAGTTGCAGATTGGTAATCAAAGTGAGTATCCAAATCAAGAGCAGAGTATCATTAATTTTGCATCAAACTCTACGAGGCAATTCTGAAAATGTACTTTGCATCTAAAAAATGAATGAAGTACATTGAAACAGCACAACTTTCAAAGGGTATCCCGGGATAAGCATGTCAAAATGCCCTTGTGAATGGATTTTTATTTTAACCATTTTAAGTCATCAAGGGTGTCCTAAAACTGAGGTTTTGGGGGATTTTAACCCCCTCCGCCCCCCCTCAGACCCCCAAAAACCGCTTTTTTGGGCTATTTTTGACTACGCTAACGTCATTTCCTCATAACTTTCGTAATTTTCGATAGAATTGAACCAAAATTTGTCAGAATCTACATCAATTAGCTTTGTTTTTGTAGAAAAAAATTCATTATCATCGGATCATATTTTAGCCTCCAAAAAAATTCGTAAAATTTTTGAAAAAATCATTTTTTTCCTTTTTTCGCGGCTAGGTGGCGTATGGAAACATGCACACAAACAAAAATTGTCTCTTTTCTTAA